ATATCAAATCGATGGGACTAAATCGCATTTTCTGGACATTTGTGCAGGGGCTACTAGACCATTATCTCGATCATGTTTAAGCAGAGGCAAAGGTGTTTTATCATTTGATATTTTGATTCACTCAGCGATGCATTTACTTGATGACATTGCATATGAACAACTGTTGAGACTGCGCGCCAGTGGATCAGTCGCTTACGCAGATGTCAGCCCTAACTGTGGACAGTACCCCAGACTCAAATTGCGTAAAAGTGGCCCTCCTCTATTGAGAACACCGGACCACCTGAAGGGAGTGCCTGCACTTCACCAGCGGACCTTTTAAAGGTACAAGAGAGTCATACAATGCTTTCTAGATGTCTTCACTGTTTAATTTTGGTATTTCCGACAGGAGGACACGCGCATCTCGAGCACCTAAGTCAGCCATGTCATGGATGGAGCCAGAGGTCCAAGCATTCTAATTTTTATTGGAGCATTCTGCATTACTCTTACAGCATGTGTTTTTGACTGGAGCATTCACAAAGCTTGGATGTTTGCGGCAAGTTTCTCCGACCTGCAGCAACTTGGATCCATATGCCAGCACTCGCCATCTGACCACGAATCCATTGTAGGCCGACATAATGTAGCAGGTGATTTTCTTTTTGAGCAAGATACAGCGTGTTATCCCCACTCAATGGCGGACGCATCTGCAGAAAGTGTCGTCCCTCTTTTGTTTGATCACCCTGTAGATCTAGCTTGGCCTTTTCCAAATGCAATTTTACCCACAAAAGGGTACGATGACTTTCCTACAAGCTCAGAAGAGGGTGGTGGCCCTTTTTACCTGCCGAACTGGAGTCAAACCAATCGGCAGTCAACTGATTTTCTTCACAATTTGCGGGTTCAATGGCGGCAAAAGATTTTGGATCAACAATTGGATCGTCAATTATTAGCCTACGTGGCACAGGGACCATCAGCGGACCCACTGTTTTCTGCGGAGACACTGCACCCATTTATGAATGAGCTTAATCATTTCATTCGAATGCATGGGCTGACTCCAGACTGGTCCATTCGGGAACACCAGCCCATGCGATTAGGTATTTTGACAGCATTGAGCACAATTCTGGGTGACAACGACACCACATTCTTTGGTGCACTACAAGCTGGCGTCAGTACTGGATTCAAAACTGACCTACCTTTATTCCAATGATTTCCCCGCAATGATCACTCAATCGACACTACAACAAAGCTGTCCGCACACATGTGCAACTGGGCCCCATATGAAAGCAATTTGGCACTCATTCGGTCACTGGTCGCCGAAGAAATATTGCAAGGATGGGTTTACAATTCGATGGAGATCTCGCTGATGCCCAGGCTGCATTTCCTGTTGGTGTTGCCCTAGGCAACCTTGGCGTTGCTACCAGCGATTCTAGATCACCACAACTCGTTGTAGACAACAATGTATGCAGCCTCAACTCAAAGTGCCATATACCTGAGCGGTCAACGCTGCCGACCGCAACGGATCTGCTGCGTAGCTACCCTCCTAGGGTTGCAAACATGACTTCATGGCCGTGTCTCTTACATTAAATCAACCCGGTCACGGAGGCATTCCTTTGTGTCTTGGTATTATGTTGTCGCATTCCAATTTCTTGGAAACAACTGGAATTAGATTCAACGATATCATGGATCGGTTGGCGATTCAATTTTCAGTCATGCTTTGTGGCACTTCCTATGAATAAACTGGACAAATTTGATACTATTTGCAATAACTCTCTCAATTCTCTCAAAAAAAATCATCGGTATCATGATGGGGGTCAATCGACTTTTCCCTTACATGCACATTTGGCGCATTATTTTTACAAAGATCTGTATGCCATTCCAGCCATGCACTTCAGCATCGACAGAGATCATTGGACTGTTGTGGCCCCATGCCTTACTGATGATTTGAGTTTTCATACTTGGCCATCAAATCCTGCAATTCCTATTCAAGGGAAACTGATTTCTGTAAGACATCAATCCGTGGAATCCTTAGACGACCTCTCCAACTTCGTCTATCTGACCGCCATATTTGGATGCGCATTCGTGACCTGACCTCCAACAAATGAAATTTATCCTCGGATACAATTCCAATGATTTCACTGTATCAATCATGGTTTTGCACCGGCAACCACTGAGACCTATGCGACCTAAAAATCTTTGGATTGGAGAAATTGCAGCTGATGCATGCGCCGCTGGCTTCCCTACTCAAATAGGAGATTTTATTCGAGCGAAGAACCGTGACTGTCGCTGGTTTTCCAAAAAATATTCTCATGCGGACTTTTTGCAACTTCACATTGATCTGGACCCCGATCTCCAGAAAGCCATTACCTGTATGGAAACGCTTGCATACATGGGTATCTTGCATTAGCCGCCAGACACTTCGATGCCACCAGGATACCGATCAAATTAGCATTCTGGAGTGACAATACAGGCATAGAGATGGCTGTACACCATGTCCCTGGTCATTCAAATGAAGACGCAGATGCATTATCGCGTATGAATGTTGAAATCGAATATCCCAAAGTTTTCTCACTGTCCGACAGAATCCGTTTGCCTCTGTCAGAACTTGGATGGATAGTCCGTCACCTAGCTTAGTTCCTATGGAAACCAAAATTCCCTGGAAGTTACCAATTCCTTGAACATCATTTCTCTTGCTGGAAATCATTCACTTTCATTAGGGGATATATTGGCGATTGATTTCCCCTGATAACTTTACTTGGGTGACAAATATCATCAAGGGAAATGGATCCAAATAACAATTTGGATCTGCCAGTCCAACATGGATCAATTATTCCAGCAAGAGAAAAGAACAATAATAATAAAGCGCGAGTGTCGGCTATTTTAAGTTATAATTATATGCTTTTATAAATTAAATAGAAAGCAAATGTAAGTCTTAGTAGAACTATACATGTACTTGTTTCATGTTTGTTTTACGGGGCTTCATTTTGTTTCGTTGAAACCATTTTGGCTCCAAGACTTACATTTGCGTTTTATCTTGGGCGTTTATTTGAAAAAACCCACCCACCCACTACCTCAAGCTGTTGTTTCTACTTTCTGGTTCTTCCAAGGGAAATACGTTTCACCCCACCGAGTCAATCGGGAGCTTGATCGCTTCCACAATATGAAGGTACTCTTCCTTCTTCGGTCACTATAGTCACCAAGTGACAACTACCAAGGATCACCTTTCAACATGAATGGGTGACAAATATCATCAAGGGAAATGGATCCAAATAACAATTTGGATCTGCCAGTCCAACATGGATCAATTATTCCAGCAAGAGAAAAGAACAATAATAATAAAGCGCGAGTGTCGGCTATTTTAAGTTATAATTATATGCTTTTATAAATTAAATAGAAAGCAAATGTAAGTCTTAGTAGAACCCTTTTGGGCATGGGTTGATGCAACGTGCGACGTTTCAGTTCTATTAAGATTTTTGGTGACATTGGGGATTTGGCAATGCTTGTGACATTCGCGTGTGACACTTGCGTGTGGAGATTGCTGTAGAGCCGATTGCATCGCACAGTGATGTCTTTCATTTGTTTCGTGCAAAAGGGCCGGGCTGGGTCTTGTTGGTCTTGCCGCATCTTTCTTTGCAACACACCATCTTTCACATGCAACTTTGTCACACACAACTCTTCACATACGACTTGTTTTACTTCTCAATCCTCCACCACCTCCTTTGTTTTTCCTTCGTTCCCCGTCCCCGCTACAACATTTGTTGTTCATTATTGGAAGAAGTTGACTTGTGGGGTTATCCCGTCCTTTAATTAAGTGGTGTGGGCCCCTAAAAGTAACAACAATTTTTAAAGATGAAATTCTCAGTCCAAAATTGCTTGCATGAGGCAGCATAGACGTGGACGAATGAACAGAAAATATCTTGCAGATGGTTTGTCAAACACTTGGGTAGCATGCGCAGAACCCCTCATATTCAGAATCATGTGTGTCCACATATATCCTGTGGGCTATGTTCCTGTGAGGCCGTAAGCAAAGCTGCCTGGCCGAGGGTGGACCTAGTATTCCACGGTATATGTTTTTTGGTTGCCTAGGAGTTTGTGTAAAACTCGTTGTCTCCTAGTCTCATGTTGGTTTCATCGTTTGGAAAGGTGAGGACACAGTTGGCAATGAAAGGGGAGAACGAAACACAAGACAACATAGACAACCAAGAGTCATGGATTTCTTGCTGTTTTGTAAAGTGCGGGGTCCGGCGGTGCGCCATGCACTTGAAATGTCTTCAAACATTGCCAGGTTGGAGTGCAGCTGGATATATCCATCAGATGTGCTGGTATGGCTGATTGTTTTGGAAAAGTCCATTTGCGAGCTTTGATTGTGGTTGGGGCTGGGCATTCTTGCAAGGTTTATGCAATTTTTCATTACTACATTTTTTTTTCCGCTGCTTTGACTGTTATGAACGGTTCAAGTGCACAAGAACATTTTTTTTGCCTCGTGGGGTCTTGTCCACTGCAGGTCCTCAAAACTGGGTGATTTTGCTGGCGAAAGTCATGACGGGGCACAAATCGGCGCCATAAATTTTTTCAACAAATTAGGGGAACGACACAAGAACAAACCCGGTGAATTTCAGTATGAGACACGAGAAAAAAAAAATGCATCAGAAGGCGAAAACACGAAGAAACACAACGAACAGAAAACAATCAGACGTTCCAAGAAAAACAAATTGTGAGGAGACATGCTTGTTGCGTAACAAAACTGAAAAAAACAGACGTTTACCAAAAGAAATGGATTTTTTTCGGTGATTCGAACACCACCAGTGGTCCACTCACATAGACATTGCAGTCACCGGATCCTGCAAAACGATACTGTTGCTTCCAACAAATCCAACAAAGAACGACGTCGGTGCGTTGTTGTTTGTATGGGTGGTGAGATGTTAATGTAACATGTGCACATTGCTCTCGACATATCCTGTGATTTGTGAACTTTGAAACATTGTAGCTCGTGAAAGGGGCGTTTCGCAAAACAACATTATCCATCAAGCGTTTTGGCTCTACCTGATTAGTGCTAAGTGTGAAGGAACGAACGAGGTGCGCCATTTTTGATGCCACCTGGTGGTTTGATTGTCACGCTCTGCAAGTTGAAACAACCCTAGGATATTGTTGTTTTATTTAAAAAATTGAACAAATTGTGCAGCATGAAAGACCGTTGCCCAGGAATGGGCAACAAAAACAAACCGGGACTTGTTGCCTAGGATGGGATGATTAAATGTTCGCAACAGACAACAAAATGACGGCTGTGATACAGGTAATGTTGGGCGGACAATCGCGGAGAAGGCCTGCTGACGTGGTATGCAGCACCAAATGGTTGTTTTTTTTTCCTCCAATGGACCACGTAGTCCCCAATTTTGTTGGATCCTTGTCAAATGTTCGGGGACCATGACCAAAACTTGAAACCTTTTTGCTATTTCAATGACCTGGAATCCTGAGCTCCAAAGATGATGTTCAAAGAGCACCATTGAGTCTTTCACGGGCTTTATTGGAAGGGATTTACAAAAACAAGAAACGAAGAAAACCTTATTTAGCATCTCAACATAATTGTTGTTGGTGAGGCGTTTCTTAAGATTCAAGTTCCATGGCAACCGGAATTAATTCTATGCAATTTAAAACTCATCATTCTCGCACACACACACACACCCACACACACACCCAATCACACACACATAATATATATATATAAATATGTTTTTCATATGATATCTTATACACATATACAAATATAAACAATACACATGTACAGGCAGATTTACATGTCCCTGCGAATGACAACCTCAGTGTTACTGCAAACAAGTATATGACCTGGCATGTTCAAGAGACCATGGTGCAGAAATCTCGGCTCATGCGAGCTGTCACCAGCGGTCTTAGTACTGGTGGCAGCTTAGCTCTCGCTTTTAAGCTGCTCAATTGGGCAGAGAAGGCGGATTACCTTTCGCCGATCGTTCACCCTCTTGGCCATTGGAGGTTTGACTGCCCCTCCTTTGTCTTGGGGCTCCTGTGCGGGATCGCACTTTTCCTCTTCATCGAGGCCTGGGTGACGCTCCGGTGGGCTGTGGTTTCCTGGCTTGAGCGGCCAGTGGATCGACTGGTTTCTGCCCCTCGAGGTTGCAGAAAGCCCCTCTACAAACTTTGTTTATGAGCAGACCGTCCGCTTCTCTCCAACTTGAGGTCGCGGACTTGCGAGAAGAGATTGGCGATTTGCGAGCCGAGCTGGCTCAACTGAGGCGTGAGGTACGTGAACTCCGCCGCGAATACCGAGCGGACTCCAGAGCATCTGCTGACTCGAGACTTGAGTCGCACGCTGGTAGCCGCACGGGCTACGGATCTCCTACTCCCTCTTCCACAACTCGTGGTGGGCAGCAGTCTCCTGACCCTGAAAGGGACTACTCCGTGGTGGATTCGGCACCTGCGGCTTCAGGCTCAGCTCCTGCCACGCCACTCACCTGGATTGAGCGGGAGAATATCTGTGACAGGATTGGCGAGTTCATTTCCAATTCGCTTCAGGGTCTTCATCGAGGGACCAGCCATCGAGATCAGATCCCTCTTCCCAGTCGTCTTTGGCTGATCGTCAGGGACTACCAGGGTCAGATCTATACCCCGGTGAAGGTCGTCAAGAGTTGGACGAGCTGCAAGGCATTGGTGAAACGTCCTGGAGGGGGCGAGTGTGGGGATAGCATCTTCGTGGGATTGCCTTCAGAACGCGAGGCGCGGCGTGTGGTTTACACTGCTGGCCTTGAGTGGCCCCAGGTGATCGAGCAATGAGTGTCTTCCGACAGCCTCCTTGGCTCTCAGATAGACCGCCTCTGGTATTTGCTGGGGGCTCAGTTTTGAGCGATTACCCCGTATGCCTCTGGGTTCTCGATCCAGAGGAGGGTGGCACTACGAGTTTGCAGGTAATTCAGATTTGCTATTTGGAAGGAAAAGTTTTGGTGGCTGTTCCGTTTGCGGTTTGGCACAAAGCTGTCAACAGGCGCATCCTACCACCTTCATCATTGACGAGACCTACGTTGATCGAGGTTCAAGCAGCGTCGGCAGACGACCGAAGTGTCGCTGAGGGCGATTTTTATTTGAAACTATGGGTTGGCTTTCTTCGGGACAGCTATGCGGATCAGCTGGAGATTTTCGAGGAGTGCGATTGTGAGTTCTTTTTTGATGAGGAGCTCCAGACGCGGCTTCCCCTTGCTCACGCCCTGGTGGAGATCTCTCAGGAGCACTTCGCCTTCTTCTCAGCAGATGGCACGGATGGGGCCCCTTTGACGGCTTCTGAGCAGATGGCAGCCGGCTTAGAGGATGAAGAAGAACTGGCAGATGCTGGTTCCCCTACTGCAAAGCGGCTTCAGCGGTTGGAAGAGACCATGGTCGACATCTCCTCTCAGCTAAAGCAGATGGTGAAGCCCAAAGCTTCAGCCGCTGGACCAAAGCGCAAAGCCAAAGGGAAAGCTTCTGCTCCTTTGAAGGCGAAGGAAAAAGCTGCTGGTGGGACTACAAGCCCGGGAGACCTTCGTGGTCAGTTCCCTCTTTTGGATGGGGGCGTGGCGCAAGCCGCACTACAAGCAGGCATTCCGAGGTCGAGCTTGGAGCAGATGCAGCACTTGATGATGCGAGGAAAACCTGGGGCCCAGATGAAGGACCTCAACTCCAAGGTCCAGCCGGATCCTTTGTCTGAAGACGAGCCAACTGCCGGGGAGGATATGCCGGACCCTGACGCTGCTGGATTTGCAGAGCCTCGGGACCCAGTGTCATCGACCCTCGACAAGCTGGCGGCGATTGTGGAGATCCTGACAGAGGACAGGAAGAAGAAACAGGCGGCTTCGAGGCTGGATGCCGCCTTGGATGGCACCTATGCCACATCCAGCGATGCTCCCCTCACCGGGGCGGGCAAGAAAGCGGCCGCGGCTAGAAGAGCCTTGATGGCCGCCTACGACGATCAGCCTCACGAGATCTCCAACTTGATCGAGCGCCAGATGTTCGAAGATCTGAACTGCCTGACCTTGGGGCCGGGCATGGCAGCAAAGGGGCTGAATGCGAGGGCTTGGGTGGAGTTCCGCTCAAAGGTGAGCAACTATAGGACCAGTGTTTACTCATCGTGGAGTGTTGCAGGAATATTGGACAGCTTGATTTCTGGCAATGTGGCGAAGGCGAGGGCGAGGGCATGTGTTTTGCTGCTCATGCTGGATCAGGCCAGCATTGACAAAGGGAGCTGGACACTAGCAGGCGAGCTGGCATTAGAACCGCCCCCACCGTTCTCTTCCTTTTCCCAGCATCAAGCTCCTGCTATTCACGATGGCGAAAGCCCCTTTTCAAAGTTGCTCGATCCACGCTGGGCAGAGCTTGCCATGACTCACCTCAAAGACACCGAGGATTACCTCAGCAAGAGACGAGCACTGGGTCGCCCCGGCACCGTGAAGCCGAAGGACGGCATGGGAGAAGAGGGCGCCGAAGGCGAAACCCGGAGAAGAGCCAAACCAAAGCCAAAGCCGAAGGCACCTGCCCTCGGCAGCGGCGAGAGCTGAACTTGCATGAACGGGAGGTGGGACGCTCCGATGATGTGGCATCTAGTACAAAGCCCTTGGTTCCGGAGCTTCCACCATAGGGGCCCAGGCCCTGTTTAATTCGTTGCCAAGGCGGCTGCTAAGAACAACATTGCGGCCTCCAAGGTTTTTTTGCTTTCCATCCTTGCTATGCCCAAGGACCGTATTGGTTCCACGTTGACCTCAAGCTCTACCTGGCCTATGCCTGTTCCTTACCCTGAAGTCTTCTCCGCCGGCGGAGTTTTGGATGGCGTTCTCATTGAAAGCAGCTGGTTTCGCTTCAGGTGGTGGTGCTCAGCTGGCTTTCTTTGGGTTGTCCGGAAGCAGCACTGATATCTCTGCGGCTGGGAGCATCATTGACTTCACGGCAGTGGTCAGCAGTTAGAAATTTGGAGCATCTTGGGGTTGATGGCAGCATTTTTGAATTTGATGATGCCGTCGACATGGGTTGAGCCGCGATCAAGCTAGAGGGGTTCGAAGGGAGCCTTGCTACCATGTCGAGGGCGATTTATTCTTTGCATGTTTCTTCGCCTTGCTATGGCTCCGCAGGGCTTTGTGCTTTTCTTGATGGAGTTTGTGATGAAGGTGTCATGAAGTGCGGGTGGCCGTGGGGCGCTCTCCGTGTGTTGCGGAGCCCAATGCGAAGCCTCTGGTGGCTGACCGCTTGTCCTTTCCTTTGCGCCCCACTTTTGACCCCTCGCCCCTTTTCGACGACAGCGCCCCTGAGCTCTGCAAGCATCCGTTGTCGAAGGGCCGTGACTGCGATAGCCTTTCAGTCCCTCCACCGGTTCAAGTTTGTGCTTCACCCAACGAGAAGTTTAACCTTTTCAAGAAGATGGCAGAGTCTGGATAGCTGAAGCCTGTCCTTGAAGGCAGCTAATGAGCAACTACAGACATGGCCTCTTTGTGGTGCCAAAATATGGGCTGAGGGATCGAATGGTCCTGGACAGCAGGCCCGCCAACCTTGCCGACCGTAGGCAGACTAAGTGGTGGAAGTCGATGGCTAGTGCAGCCTCTTTGAGGGGCTTGTACATTTCGCCGGAGGAAGTCATGGTTTTTGGTGGTGACGATCTGAAGGACTATTTTTACCGGGTTGCGGTCAATGGTGAGCATGTCTGCACGAACGTGCTCTGCGGTGATCCTTCGCTGGAAGAGGCCGGTATGTGCTTGGCAGTGGTGTTTCCGGCCTTCTGATAGGGTAGCAATTGGCCTATCCCTCCTGGCAATTGGCGACACCTGTGCAGTTGAGTATGTTCGACGCTCCCATATCAGTTTGATGCTGCGCACAGGTGTTGCCGCCGTTTCAGAGATGTTTTCCCTCCACGATGCAATCCCGGAGGCTTGCTTCACGTTGGGATCATCGTGGACGATTTGGCGCTTTTGGGAAGGGTCTTGTTAACTGACTATGAAACTGGCTTGTGAAAAGGGTCTCGATATGACAGCGGGGAAGACACCGTCGTGCACCGGCGGCCTATGCTCATGCTTGCCCGGTGAATAATCACAAGAAAGCTTTTGAAGGCGAGGTTTGCTCTAGTTTTTGGGCGTTCACCTGGATGGGAGAAAGGAGCTGATGCGTCCAAGTCAGATGAGGCTGCGGCCCTCCTTCGTCATCAGTTTTCGAGTCTGCGCCCTGGGACTTCGCACCATTTCCTTGCTTGAGACTTGAAAGGTTGGCTGGTATGTGGGCGTCTTTGTTGCAGGTATGGATGCGCTTGTTAGCGCCATGGACTTGCTCTTGGAGCCGCCTTCACTGCAGCTCCCTTCCAATATGATCATTCGGCTTTCGCGGGAGGTCGTCCCTGAGATCACGTTGATTGCAGTTTTGGGTACATTGGCCGTTGTCAATTTGCGAGCCGAATTTAGTGACTTGGTGGTTGCTACCGATGCTAGCTCTTGCACTATGGCTGGAATTGGAGCACCCATTGATTCAGCGATCACAATGGTGCTCAGGGGACATTGCTTGCGGAAAGGGGTGTGGGCAAAGTTACTCGCCCCCTGCAAAGCCTTGTTGCGTGTGCATGGGCTCTTGGCCCCTGAAGATGTAGTTCCTGATGCCACTTTTGGTCACACCTCTCGTGAGACCTAATGGCGAGAGCCTTACCCTAAAAGGAGTCATGGAAAAGATGAATTAGGAGGCGACAGCACAGCAATGTCAGTGAATCCGAGAGCTATGTGATTGAGGAGAAGCGTATATGCCAACCCACCTGTAGCAAGAGGGTCCCTTGTTGGACTTGACTCTCAGGTGTCGTTGGGGGCAGTTGTGAAGGCCATGCTGCATCGCCCAAGCTGAATGGCTTTTTGAAGCGCAATCTGGCATACTCTATTGGCTTCGATAATTGTTCCCTGCTTTTGTACTTCAACATTGCTTCGAATAGGGCCGATGGACCTGCGAGAGATATGGTTCCCCCTCCACCTGATTGTCGCTGCCTTTTGGTGGGACCAGTTGTGTGCGGGAGACCACTCCGCGTTTGATGCTTGGATGACAGCTGTTGGCGCGACCAACCCTGCAGATGACATTCCATATGATGATGTTTTAGGGTCTGCTGAACTTGACCTTGCCCCGAATCGTGCTGTCAATGCTCGGGTCTTTCTCTCCGAGCGCAACATGGGCAAGGAGCAAGTTATTTCCAGGGGACATCCCTGGCATGCGGCTCAGTATGCGGCAGAAAGACAGAGATGGCAATTCCCATGCTGTTTTAGCTGACCTTGTTTTGCTGTGCGAAGCATATGGCGTTTGGTACGCAGTGAAGAATCCTGATACGTCATGGCTATGGAGGCAGCAGAGATAGCCGAAGTTTCGCTCTTCAAAAGGCCTCTGTCGGCTGAAGGGGTCACCTTGTGCCAACATGCTGACTGGAGCAGGACTGAGAAGCTCAACGTGGCTGATTGTTCGAAGACAGGCAATTTACGGGTGGGAGAGACAAAGAACCCTGGGCCTAGGTCTAGGGCTGTTGCGCCCCGTTCTGGGTCGCGCTTCGACTATGAGCTGCTCGCTGCCTATACCCTTGTCTTTTAGTGAAGCAGTTGCAGTTCTTTCAAGCTTGGTGCATCCACCGTATTGATGCAGGAGATCTTCATTCAATTTTCTGCAATGTACCTTTGTTTTGGCGAAGGCATTAGTTGGCTAGGCAGAAGATCTCTACAAATCCAGTGGAGCGCTTGGTAATCTGCGGCACTTTATTTTTGCCCGTCAGAGTGGATTCCTGGCTCGAGAGTTTTCATGTGGCAGCCTTGGGAGATGCTTGAGAGATGGGAGGCCTCAGCTCCTGTCATACACAGAACCCCAGTTCCATACCGTCTTCTGCGGTGATTATGTGTTCTAGCATGGCAGCTACGTTGGTATGCATGGGTTGGTGCTACTTTGCTTTCTTTTACAGCGCGGGTCGTCTGGGAGAGATCTTACGCTGCAGCCGTGAGGATTTAGTTTTGCCAGAGGATGTCCTTGAGCTTCAAGGAAGTGCAGTCTTCCTTCGGCTGTGTTTATGCAAGAGCAAAATGCGTCAGCCAGTTAGAGTGCAGCACGTGAAGGTGACTGATAGGGCCGCATGTTTGCTCTTGTGTAAGACCTTCAAGACCCTTGAGTATGACCTGCCGCTGTTTGGATCAACTGCGCACCAACATAGAAAATGATGGGATCGTATGCACCAACGACAATTTGGCATTTCCAAATCCTTTTCTATCACTTCGGGGTTTGAGGAGAGGCGCTGCAGCTTATTACTACAAGCACAGGAAACTGATTCATGAATTGCTTTGGCTTCTCTGTTTACGTAGCCCAACTATTTTGGAGTGCTACCTCCAAGAAGTTGCGGCCCTCGACACCTTTGCCCAGCTCTCTCAACATTCTCGTGACCTTGTGCTCCTTTCCGCTTCCTGCTTTGCATTTTTGATTGCTGGTGACTGTCGCTAGCGGGGCAAAGACAAACGTACTTTGTGACACAGGTCCACTCTCACCCGCGGGACCGTTCTCCCTAGTGACGGTGTGGTTGCAGCTACTTCCTTGTGGAGTTCTATGTCCTTGCAGGCTCCTACATGCTCCATGGGCAACTTCTTGGCCGTTTACGTCATGGAGCAGCTTCTGCAGTTGGATGTGGCGAACCGGAAGCTGACATGCAGCTGCACCCCTCGCACATATTAGGGCGATGGAAAAAAAAGTGACAGAGCCAGCATCTTGCAGTGCACTGTTTGGGCGATTTTACATGACCTGGCATGTTCAAGAGACCATGGTGCAGAAATCTCGGCCCACGGCCACCCACCCCGGCCAAGCCGCCGACAGTGTCCTGTTGGTGTGGTTGCAGCTACTTCCTTGTGGAGTTCTATGTCCTTGCAGGCTCCTACATGCTCCATGGGCAACTTCTTGGCCGTTTACGTCATGGAGTAGCTTCTGCAGTTGGATGTGGCGAACCGGAAGCTGACATGCAGCTGCACCCCTCGCACATATTAGGGCGATGAAAAAAAGAGTGACAGAGCCAGCATCTTGCAGTGCACTGTTTGGGCGATTTTACAATATATATATATATATAACATATACATACATATTTGAGCATTTTTGATATCTATGATGCATTTAGCAAAAACACCCGTGAGGCCGTGAGGCACGCAGAAATACATCCGCATTGCACACGTGTACACGACAAATGTCCATCCTCTATGCATTTGAAAAGAACTATTTTTGTTGTTGTCACACGACTTACTTGCGGTTCGCAAATTTGGGAACTGGGAACATGTCAAACTCCAGGGTCATTTTAGCGAGCTGAGCTGCAATGATCTGCAGGCTTAGGCCTTTGGCGCTTCCATTGATTCTTGTGCTATTGCTAAGCTTGACGCAGGTGGCTCGGGAAGGGTTGGCACAGGCGGCAGGAATGGGGTAGGAAGGGACCAGCATCCTCAATAGTGTAGATGCGTCTATTTCCATTCTGGTCCCCTTTTAGCCTTTGCCTCTGCACATGTTTTGGCCTCAGATTCCCTCATGTCTTCACGGTGCTACCTTGATGTACAGGTTTCTTCACCCCTCAACTGCTTGCGGAGCAGTCTATTGCCCTGAGCAGGTGTCGTTGCCAAGCTTCATTGTCTTGGCCTTGGAATGCAGCAAAGCTATCCACGACAGCACATGACCTGTAAGGATACTTTTTCGTGGAAAAGCTGCACGCGTTTTGAAGTGATTAAACATGGTGTCATCAGCTCCTGACTCCAGATGGCTATTTTGTAGCTGCAGGGTGTGCCTCGGACCAGCATCACACGAGATGCAGTTTTGAGGCCTAGTGGGTGAAAAGCAAACTGGACACATTTTCAAAAGCCAAGATAGGAACCACCTGGCTGAAGATTTGCGCGTGGTAGTCTCTGCAGTTTGGAAATGCATGCGATTTTGAACTTGGGGTTCTCCAATCAAGTTGGCAGCAACAGTGCCAGCGGTTTTCATTGTTTTTGTAGTTTTGCAGTTTCCCTGAAGCATCCTGATGGAGAATCCCATCTATACTATTACTACTATTATGACAATTCTTACTACTGAAAATATTGCTACTATTACTTTTTGTTATGATCAAACTCGTTCAGTAATCCCCGACTAGACTTCAAGGCGAGGGAATTTCTCATCCCTGCGCCAGGCAAGCTGCTGACAAGGCCCATCAGCGCGTCACAGGGCGACTAGTCGTCCCTCAACAACTCAATGTCCATTAGATCCTTGGTAACGTGGTAAGCCCAATGATGAACCAACCTCATTTTTTGAGCGGAAATAGGTTGTATAAACCATCCAAAATTAGAGGTTTATGTCATGGGGTTTACCAGATTACACGTATTGGCCAACTGAATACAGCAATGAACATCTCCATGCGCATGGAACTCGTACATGAAAACGCCACAAGGAGCTTCCAGTGCCAACATTGTGAATGCAGTCATTCTCAGTATGAATGATATATCATCTTTTGAAATTGCTCTATTGGGAACATCATCATCAAAATCTGATGTTTCAAAGAACTGCTGTGAAAACTCTGTGAAATGGTAACGCCAGGGCTTTGGATCTGGAGCCAAGGCAGGGGTTTAGAGGTCTTGAGCATTTTGACGTGACTCCTATGGTAGCTGTGATAGCTGTAGTTTGCAATGATGAAGCTGAGAAAAATGTCAGGTTCCAAAGAAGAAGAAGAGCAAACAGGCCGATGCAGGGAGCAACCGGGAGCAACCATGAGTTGTACAGCTTGGACAAGAAGCTCGGGGCAAGCTCTAAATCATTCTGCTGTATCCAAGATTTTTTGTCTTCCGCAGGAGAATCTATTGGGGCAGTATGTTGGATGGGGGGGAGCAGCACATGAAGTTCAGAGTGTTTGGGTCCTCCATACGGGAGTGAACCAGCTCAAATGCGGAATATTCCTCCATGGCTTGTATAATTACGTGCTGTTCAGATCGAATTGGTTTGTTGGTGGTTGGTGGCTTCAAATATCTTTTTAAACTTTCCAGCCAGCCATGGGGATGCTGATCCCTGACAAGCATATTTTGGAAAAGGGGGGCTCAACCAGCTGCTAGGATGCTTCGGACGAGGAGACCAGCATTGTGAAGGCACGATGAACATTGATCAGCCAGTGGAGGGAATGGGAATACATTGAATACATTCTGGGTACTCAATTTTCAAAGAAATTCATGTCAATGATGGTGCACAGTGTGGTGAAAGATGTTGAAATGCTAGGGTGATAGAATCTGATAAAGAACATCACGCGCAGTAATGGGCAGTTTCAACAAGCAGCGCAGATGTTCTATTGACCGCCCGAATTGACGAACCGCATCACAGCGGCCAGATGACCAATGTGTATTCCTTGTGACATCGTGACAGGGGTTGCTCAACCCTTTAGCAAGAGCTCTTGAAATTGACGTATATTTCTGTTTCAGGTTGCAGGACCTGAAGTTTTTTCTTCATGACCTGACGTATTTGAGTATATACATCTGTACACATACACATACAGTCATAGAGTGTATGGCTAAGTAGAACAGACGCATGATATTTGATTGGACCTCAGTAGGAATGGCCAGTCGCCTTAGGGCCTTGGCTCTTTGCCAGAGCGGCTTTTCAGTGCTTTGTGCTGAGGATAAGAAGTCCTCCAAAAGCAAAGCTTTGAGGCATGGCATGGCATGGCATGGCTGCAGCTCTGTACATCTCTGTGATCCACAGTGATCCACAGTGTCACACAGTGTTCCAAGTTGCAGTTGCCCAGTTGCTGATGGAGTCTTTTCTCTTTGGGGATGTTCTTGGGCTTGGTTTGGTTGTCAACGGAAAGATCCTGTTTGTACCTGGGTCAAAAGCTTATCGCATGCTAAACACAACCCTCAATTTCTGGATCCGTTTTCCTATTATATCCACATGACATGCTATATCTCCCTTATTACTCCACTATTCTATTTCCATGTCCCTCCTGCAAATTAATACGGTCCCTGACAATAGCAACACGTTTTAGTGGGAACTCATGGTTTCCAACCTCCAACGATGTGCCGCAGTAAGCAGCGGCTTAGCGACCTCAGAGATAAGACTCTGGCCTTGCGACAAAAGCGCGAGGTGCAGCCAGGGCAGGTGATCTCTGGTGCTTCATGGTGATATGATTGGGATATATATATATAATATATATATATATGGGGATATAGTGGCATATAATGTGGGATATAAGGTGGGATAGAATGTGGGATTTACAATGTGGATTGTGGGATATAGCGGGATACAATGTCGGAAATAGTGGGGTATAATGTCGAATATAGTGGGATAGAATGGGATGTACTGAAGCAACAACATGACATTTGGGTTTGTCTGACAAATGACCCAAATGGCCAATTTTGTTCATTTTAATTTTAGTTGATAATGATGACCCTCCAAATTGGTCAATTTCAATCATTTTTGTGTGGATAGCGTTGGTAAACCATCGGAATTGGGGATGCCATCTTTTCAGAGAAACACATTTTTCATGGGGATTACGACAATCCAATATGGGAAATGGGCTGACATTTTCATTTTGTTGGAGATCGACCAGGCTGATACCCTGGTTTTGGGCGCAGGAAGAGTTGGATGAGTACGAGATGGGCAAAGCTATGATTGCCAAGTGCCAACAACGTGGTCTTCATTGAGTTCATCATGCACAGAATTGGCTTGTGGTCTGATGATGTCTGATGGGGTTCACAATCCTACTGATGTTGGATGATTTTGGCATTGATGATTTGAATTGCACCGACCGTGTATCTTGCATATTTAATTTCATGATGCAAGTCTGATGCTGGTGCGAATGTGTGTTTTATGCAATGACTTTTGAGCTAGATTCCCTTTGGCTGGTACGGTAGATTCCGAGCCGAGCTATTTTCCTTCCTGCATTCCTGCATTCCTGCATTCCTTCATTCCTTCATGCCTTCATTCATTCCTTCATGCCTTCATTCATTCCTTCATTCCTTGATTCCTTCATAACTTCTTTCATTCAGGCATGCACTCATTCATTCATTCATTCATTCATTCATGCATGCATGCATGCATGCATGCATGCGTTCATGCATGCATGCGTTCATGCATGCGTTCATGCATGCGTTCATGCATGCGTTCATGCATGCGTTCATGCATGCGTTCATGCATGCATGCATGCATGCATGCGTTCATGCATGCGTTCATGCATGCGTTCATGCATGCGTTCATGCATGCGTTCATGCATGCGTTCATGCATGCGTTCATGCATGCATGCGTTCATGCGTGCATGCGTTCATGCGTGCATGCGTTCATGCGTGCATGCGTTCATGCGTTCATGCGTTCATTCGTTCATGCGTTCATTCGTTCATTCGTTCATTCGTTCATTCGTTCATTCATTCATTCATTCATTCATCGGTTCATTGGTTCATTCGGTCAGTTCTGCATGGATTCTTTCATTCATGTCGTTTCATTCGCATCTCAACCAGCATTTGCTCATTCGTTTTTTCCTCTGCATCTTCAACAAGTCATTGCTTCTGCATCGCAAAAGCTTTCCTATAGGCCTACTATAGGCCATTGATTTCCTGTAATCACTTCATTTTTTTGAAACTTCCTTCTCGGCATGGGCCGGAAACTCTCCCTCTCTCTCTCTATATATATAGAGAGAGAGGGAGTATCCATTGTTCTTCATGATCCATATGGGAATGGGTCAAAACCGATTATTTCCTGTACTTGGGTGGAATAAACGTCCATTAGCCAGATCTTAGGGCACCATCCGGGTCCCAGGGGTTTTGACCCAAAACCATCTTCCATGATCGCCGAGAGATGCGCCGTTCTAGGTACGGCCGAGAAGTGGCGGTGATGCCTCAAAATGTGGCCGAGCGTGTGGCCAAACGTGGCGGGATCCTGAGAGTTCGAAACTGGCAACGACACCATTTCATAGGAATTGATACCCCTGATTTGTTTTCGACTGGTTTGTGCTAATCCTGGCTTGTTGAGAATACCCCATCCAGTTCAACAGTTGAGATTTTGATAGGTTAGCAATTGACACACGCACACACACACACGCGCACGCACACACAGATGCAAAAAAGAGGCACAGGTTTGTGCCATGTTGAGGTATGGTCATTGGTGGATCCTTTTACGCCACCATGCTTGCAGTCTTCGCATTTGGCATCATTCTTTTTAAGACTCAGGACCATTCAGACTGAGCACGGGACATGTTATTTTAGTTTTGCATAGTGCAATGACAGACTTGGCTGCAAATATGCAGTTATCTCCTTCTTTTGGTTTTTTGGTTGAAATTCTTGGGAAAAGAGTCAGCAAGATCTGGGGGTAAACGATAGTCCCGATAGCCCGCATCTGGCGTACTTTCGGTGTCAGACATTTCCTTTCAAACATTTTCCTGTGGAGCACCACAAATGACACATGTGCGAAGTCTAGGAGATCGTGATTCCTCCAACACTTATGGCGTTTGTGACGCTGGCTCTTCTTGCCCTTGCAATTTTTGGTGCCGGCCTTCAGTCAGATAGTAGTTGCAAGTAGAGTCAGCAGCGGTTCTTGGGAATTCAACATTTCCCACCATTTCGACCCAATTCAGTTGGTTCCAAACTCCAAAACTGATAAATCTGACGGTGACAGCTTGGCGATGCACTCAGGTGGCTCCTATGGCATGATGTCTGCGTCTTGGGACCCCGACAAGGAGGGCAGTGCCTTGGGCGCAGAGGAGCCGCGCTGATCCATCAGACATTAGATAAGGTAGTAACTGGTAGTAGAACATATTAGACAAAACAGGAAAGTAATTTGCATCACATCGAACTGTAGACCATGTAGACCCGGTGACTGGACTTCACTTGGCCTCAGCTCTCCATTTTGTGCACAAGCCGTTCCATTAACGTCTATCAAACTTCGAGAGACTGGCATAACTGCAGCTGCTTCATGATTTGCATCGTGGCAGGTGGGAGGTTTCAGTGTGGGCCTAAACCTGTTGACCCCCCTACAACACGCCATGTTTTGGAAGATGTTTTGGCGACGGCCATGGGCTTCAGGAGTTTGGTGACAACATGAAAATCCTTGGAGAAGGCTTCAGGAAAGCCACGCTGCAGACAGAATACGAGAAGGCGGGAGATGACAATTTTGGAAAACAGAGGGGCCAAACTGCCCAAAGTTCGGCCAAACAAAACAGCAGTGCAGTTTTTATTGTGCGAAAAGCCTTGCAGAATATAGGAAACCAATGCATTTGATCTCCGCTTCCAGAGGGTTCCGGGTATGCACGAAGGCCTTGGAAGTGCGAAACGAGCGTCGAAAGCTGTTGGAGGCAGCCTGGGCATGCCTGGGCGGCGGTTGTGATCGACCTGTCAGTGTTTTGGCCATGGTACCATTTCTTTCATTTTCTGTTCATTTTTTAAAATTTGCTCACTGTGGGTCGTGTTCTGCTTACGAAGGCAAAGGAAAAGAAGAAGCAGGAACTGCTCAACAAGTGAGGGATGGGAACGAAGGAATCCAGCTATTTTATTTTCAAGCTGCACCAGCGTTCCAATGCAGCAGCCTTTTGGCCACCAACAGCAGCTGATGCTGACACCGTCCCCAAAACCCAGCTGTTCAAACAGTGGATCACACCTTCACAGAAGGCAAAGGGGGGCACCAGCTGCAGCTGCTAGCTGCTACCATGCAACTAACAGGATAATATGGCAGAACCCGAGCAGACAGCCTAGGCACGCAAAGTTGCAGAGCCAGGCTTGGGTACTTCAACGTTAGGATCTCCTGAGTCTCACCCGGTTTCACCTGACAGTACAACTCGATTAGCCACAGTTGTCCCTGCGGAAAAGCTTGCAATACGGAGCAGGATAGAGTCTTAGGAGCTGTTGCTACCAGTATAACTTCAGGGATGTTTGAAAGAAGTTGAACACTTCGGTTTTGTAGGAAGCGAACCTCAAAACCGTTATAGACTGATACCGAGATGAACTCACGAACGCGCACGAAGGGCCAGCGCTGGGAGAGGTCTGAGGATGAAGTTCATAGGAATGTCCCGCCCCCCTGGGGGGCACAGGTTGATCTTTTCAAAGCTGAAAGCTTCGGGCTTGCGCATGACAATACTTTCATTTTGATGGGTGGAAAACCATGATTGGAGCAAGAACATCTGGAACTGAGGCTCCTGGGGGCTGCATGGATACTGTTCGGGTTTTGGGCTCGTTGGTCACGATTTCGGGTCACATCCAAGTATGCATACAAGCAGCTAGGGAATTATCGCAACAGATGCTTGAAAACCCAGTGGCGTAAACAATTGCATTTTTGTTTTTCAGGAATGACCATGAGATGAATGAGGTCTTTCATCATCGACTGACGTTGCAAATAACTTGCCTTTTCACTTTCTTCCTGGCCCAATCTTTAGGAAACCAAGGGATGCTCGATATTTCCCAACAGAGACTTATTTTTTGGGGTCAATTGCGACTGAAGCAGCATGGCCCGAAAGTCACGCGCGTGTTCCTCGGCGAGATATCCGAAGTTAGATAGCCCCAAAGGGAGTGCTCTTACAAATGTTGCATCAAACTGCATGCATTGGGTGGGATTGATTTTGTGACCAATACCATCCAACACCCATTTATGATGATATGATGATATGATATGTATCGTTCTCTTTTCGAGTGGTTGTGCAGATGTCAGCACCATGCCGTTGGCAGTAGTGAGAACGGTAGTTGGAAACACCGCAGAATGGAGGTATTACCAACCAACTTCGAGAATTTCTTTCGCAGATCTTGGATGTCAAGCGGTTGAATTTGACATGATGATGCTTCCAGAAGGTATCCAAAAAGCTTGTACCGGCATTGGAATTAGTTTTAAAGGCATTCAATTCACAATCTTTTCAACGGAGGTGCCCCAAACAAGAATGCCCATTCAGTTTGTTCTGCTCTCATGCCAGAATGGCTTGAACACGTCCCCTGCGCTATAGTCGTCTTTCTGGATCTTTCTGGTCCCCAGTTACACCATGGCACACTATGGTACACTATGGTACAGTCACTAGCCATCAAACAATAGCCAGCATCTAACAACATTCGCTGTGGCTGTGAAACCCCTCGATTCCAAGGCGGACTTTGTGTGGTCATCTTGTTGGCCTGTCATGTGGATTCCGTGGATTTGACGAAGGTTTGACTTTCTGGAAAGGTTGATGTGAATGGGTGAATGGATGTGAATGGGGTCCCAAATCCGGGAAGGTTTGATGGTCGTGCTTTGATTTTGACGGCTGTTGCAGCGCAGGCGACGCTTTCTTTTTTCTTTCGAGGCGCCGGAATGCCTCACCCTTAGATCCCAGAGTGAAACATCCTTCTAAAGCCGATGTGGACATGAATATTCAAAGACAAAGATCCTTACAAGTACAAAGGTATGAAATGAACGCTGTTTATGAATAGTAATGCCGGCTTGTATGAACCAAAGAGCTTTCTCAGAAGCTGATGGGGACATGAATTGACATCTAGGGCCGTTTGGGTCCGCCGAAACTGGAACCAACCACAGATGAACAGATAGCCTGGTGATAGCCTAGGGCCTAGCTGCCTAGCTACAATTTTGTTTCATCACAGTGTCCCAGGCCTCGGCGTGCGATATTCTCCGTGGCTGCACAGGCCGGTGCTCACAAGGGACCGTTTCCAGTGTTGAAACTTTGGGTCGTGAGCACTTCTGAGCTGTCGTAGGTGGATCAACAAAGAGATTAGGTTTTAGCAGATTCGAGAGGAATCGAGAATCTAGATGCAGATGATTGACATTGATTGACTACGGTTTAAACATGTTTAAAGCATGCTTGTGTAAATCAAATTTTGATCCAAAAGCCTCAAGTCCACAGAGACACGCCCTTACGACTCTCGCTGCGCCAGGTGGGGCTGGGCCTGAGTGAGGCTGCCTGGGCCAAACGGCCAGAAGGTCTGGAGACTGAGCTGCCATGGCAACCATGAAATCATTCGACAGTTTAGAGATATTTAGAGTTTTGCCTGGCATCTTTAGGCGAAAGGGTGCACGAAGTATTCTCTGAAAAGGTGCTTTGGGTCTTTCATCCAGTATTTTGTTTTCCACCAATGTTACTGACCTTTGATTTTTTCCCTCAGCCATACCAATTCAGCGGGCTCGACTCCAGGTGTGAACCGACCTGAGCTGCTGCCGAAGACGGCTGGGGAGTCGACTCCCATCATCGATGTTGCCAGGTTGGTATGGGTCGAATTCGCCGAAATCCAACACCTATCTGTTGGTCTCTTTTGGTATCATGTTTTCACATCAGACCGCCTGGTTTTTTATGTTCATCCTCCCATGGGTGGCACGGTCCCAGGTGAGTTTGGTTCACCCAGCAGCAGTGGGCCAGGATCTTGACGGCGAGTCAAGAGCGACAGCTGACAGCTGACATTGCGGAACTGGAGAAGCTTGCCAAGGCGCCAAGGCGTTGGTTCCCCACTTTGAAGCGCCAAGTAGAATCTGTGCACCACACACTATTTGTGCAGATGTCTACTCAGTCTACTCACAGGGCCGATCATCTTGAGGCTACATCAACGAGGATTGGATCCCACCTTTGGTTCTTGAGCGAATCACGGACTTTGCAGGTTCGGCTGCGGGTGCTAACCCAGACCTTTCCGAACACACCAGGAGACGCGATGAGAGGGGGTCCGAAGTTGGATGGAGGGTGAACAGTTGTTCTGAGATCAACACAACATCAACGTGTGGGAAACAGCTTGGAAGCACAATGATGCTGCAGTGAGAGCAGCCCCCGAACATCATTCAAAACTGAAGTCGCTGAGGACTGGCCATTAAGGATTATTGGAAGCCTGATGGTCGGACAGCGGGTGATCCCAGAAATGAACTTTGAGCTTCAAGGGTCATGACATGTTCCTATAAACAGATTGGACCCACCTCAAGAGTAGATGTGAAACGAGATGAGTTAATGGCTCCATGCTTCTTTCAAGGTTTGCTGAGCAAACTAGAGGTCACTGAAAGCGAATACCTCTCTGGGCTGCATGTCTTTTAGACGGTGTGCCTTTTCCCTCCATGTACTCTATTCACTTCAACTTGGTATTGCCAAAGTACCAATGGCTGGGAGAATCGGTTGTAATCCAGTCAGAAGCGCCGAGATTATCTATGTGCATGACACCGGGGGACTGGGCGAGACGGCAGTGGTGAATTTCAATGCGGGACAAGAAGTAGAGACCATGCTGGGGTCCTCAGTGCCACTTCAACTTCCATCTTTGTAGTTTTCAAGTCGTCTCCAATGAAAGGGATGGCTGCAATGGCTCAAATGGCTGCCGCAGCACCATGACGTTGACGTGGCTTTGTTGACAAGCTCACTTTGTCTCCGGTACACAAGCTAGATAGAGGGGCAAGTTGAGGCATGTCAGGAGTTGACTCTGAGAATGATAGCCTCACCGTACACGCTTCTTTGATCTTCTTTGTGCTGTACCCCTCCAGATGGTATTTCGCGAGATGTCCAGTGATTAAGTGAGTTATTGGTCAAAGTTAGGTGCCCCAAATTTGGACTGTGTACATGCTTAACAGTCACCAAAATCTAGGGGCCCTGCGCTTGAAACGTGGGCCCTCAAAGCTTCCATGGCTTATCATTCATCAAGACGTTCTTGTCGAGGAAGCCCCTGAGTTACTGGAGGCCCCTGGGCTTGTGTTAGTTTCGGCAGGAATCGGGTTCGAAAGTTTTGCTGAGCTACCCTGCAGATTGTTGCAATGGTGCCCATATAAACAAGTAGACCCTCAAAAATCATGTGGAGCTTAGATTAATTACATCTGGGCTGCGGCCCTACCGCTCTTGGATGGTTCAGAACTCTAGCATGCCTTTTCAGAGGGAAGCAGTTCTGCATGACGATCTGACCAGTGCTGCGGAGATGACCTTTTCTCGGCTGAATGTGGCTCTCAGTCTGCAGCACAGGCAAGTGCAAAATACTTATGGCAACAAGTACTACATCAAGGACTGAGCCAGAGTATCTTCAATGATCTTCAATGATTGGCTGCATGACATGACATTTGAGAACTTGGCTTGCGTTTATGTTGGGTCTATTCAGATCCTCTACGGTTTGGCCGGTTTTTTTCCCACGTCGTTTGCTCATGCAGACAGCCTGTCAGAGGGAAAAGGTTCCCACTTCCTTGGTATCCCGGAATGCTGTAGATTTAAGAGACATTGTGACATTGTGGAATAAAGCAACCGTCCATGGTAGTTTCAGAGAGTTTCCTTCAATTCTGGCAACATCCAACTCTGAAAGGAGCATGGCGACTCTGACACCGTGGTGGACGTGGTAAGGGTCTAAAAATTCCATTGGCGCAACACGGGATTGACTGTAGAAATACAAAGCTTCAGAGGATGACGTTGAGGCGCGTCGGGAATCGAAAACCAGAATCTTCCTGAAAAAGTTTGGTTGAGGCATCAGCATCCAACACCAAGATTTGTCCCCCTTGCGGCAGTGTTTGACTGAGTCATGAAGTTGCCACTTCCTGAGGTGAAAGCTTTGAAGGAGGGCTTCGTTCCTGAGAACAAGAGCTGAGAATGGCCAGGTTTTTATTTCCTCATATTCTCCCATAGTCTCCGAAGATTGGGGCATTAAGAAAGGTCCTTTGCAGGTGAAAAGCAGAGGGAATTTAGGATCACCTAAAATAATCACCTGAGTCTAAATAATATCAATTTGCTTCCAAGTTAAACTAATTCAATCCTCAATTCCAGCTATGTTTCAGGACAGAATGTCTGCCTCGATAGCGCAAGTGATTTTCCTGCTGCAGGGAACGCCGAGCGGCAGAAAAAGAAGCTGCCAATCAGGCATTTGGAGGTGATTCCTGGTGGAAATATGAATCACCAGATAAGGGAGGTTTGCAGCTGGGTTGACAACTTGTGATGATCTTCGGCATGAAGTATTGGATTTTGAATGATTTTGATGGTGCAAAGGCAAGAATGTCTATGAATCCAATATTTCACCAATTATTCAAAGAGGGGTGGCATGAACGGCGCCAATTGCTCGGATGCAGCATTGTCAGCTTTTACACAGACACCCTGACACCGTGACAAGATGACTGGCTTCTGGAGGGCTATGGGGCACCCAATTTTGAGGTTCACATCCACATAGATAGAAGCTCGGTAGTGACCGGAGTTTTGCAGCGCTTTAGATGTAGCTTTATATGCCCTTATGACAACCTAAAATGCTTGCAGTCCTTCTCTTACAGGAGGCAGAAACATCAGAAACTGAAAGTGACATGAGAAGAAGCTAGTGATTCGAGTGAAGTCAGCAGCTCCTCAATTCGCCATGGCTAACTCTTCAGAAAAAACTGAGGCCCGGTGCGGATCATGTGGGATCAGAGTGGGTCTCAGTCTGCTGAAGGATCCTCATCGGCAGTCGCGTGAAGTTCCTTTTTGACCCCAGAGTGTTGCTTTGGAAAAGAGTGGGTGGGTCTCGGTCTCAAGGGTGCTTTTGCTATTTTCATCTCTGCACATCTCATTTTTGTGCAGCCATGGTCTTCCAGATTTGCTGCATGTTCGTTCCATGATGGGTACCGCTCTTTTTGCATGTTGATGCTTCTCCGGACGTGTAGGGAAGATATCCCACTTCCCCCTTGTGCATAGTTCATGTTGGGTCGAATATTTTGTTGGTCACATGAGTCACATGACGTACCCAGGACACAAAGGATTTGCCATTGGTCATGCAATCCAGTTGTCCTTGGACTGGAAGCACCTTTGTACCCTCCGTTAGCACTCCCAAGCACCTGGGTTTTTCGTGGGTTCTTCATCATCCACACTGTCTGGTTTTCCCAACCTTGCATTTTTTTTGTCTCCAAACAATGCAGTCACGCTTGGGCTCTTGCAGTACTGAGCTAAGTGACAGTTACAGCAAAGTTCCTCGCTCTCCTTTTCAAAGAAACGTATTCGCGGAGAGCTCTTTGGTGGAGGTGCCTTCTGGCCTTAGTGCCGTGTCTGTCTTTGGAGCTATGTATGTTTTGTGCGGCATGCTTAAGGGATTCGGCGCTGTTGGACGGTCAGAACCTCGTTTTGTGTGACAGGCGCAAGGGCTTAGACGGTATTTTTGCGCCTGGCAGGCACAGTATTTCGTGCAAGCTGCTAAAAGGCTTGCAAGGGTGGGTCAACAAAAGAGGTGCTGCTGGAGGTCATTTTTGTGTGGCAGGTGCTCTCGTCATTTTGGAATTGGGTACGCGGTGATCATCTCGCATGGCAGGTGCAGGACTTTGGATGCCTCAGGTTATGTTTCGTGACAGTTCTCGGAGAGGTCCTTGTATGAGAGGTGCTTGTATGAAAGCTCTTGCATAAAGATATTGTAACATCCCCTCCAAGGTCCTTCCATGACAATCTTGTGAGAGCGTCTTGGAGGTCCTGGTACGAACATCATGCCTGGGTTATTGTAAAATGATCTTGTGGAGATTTCTGGTGAAGTCTTGTAAGAGGTCCTTCTGTAAAGATCTTGAAGATATAAGTTAGACGTGCTTTTGAAAGTTCTTGTGGGCTGCTATTTGGGATTCTTGTAGTCCTACCAGGTCCTTCATTGATGTTCTTGTGAGATTCTCTTAGTGGCCCCAGTATGACAATTTGCTATACAGAGGTTCTTGTCAGCAGTGTATGGGGCCTCTTGACTGGATCATGTTTCGGTAGACTTTGAATCCAACCTTCAAAAGTTGAATCGACTTCAACAAAACTTAGAAGTGCATAGTTTCGGAGGCAAAACTAGCCTTCCAAATCGTGATACATCAGATGCAGGCACCAAAGGCCGGAGCTGCCTCGGGTTGGCCATTCTTGTTGATCTCTGCGGCTTTCCTGCCCATCTCCATGTGGTGCCGCAGCGGTTTACCGTTGGCAGATCCGGTCGTTTTGGGGGGAACCAGATTTCCTTGCACAAAGTTCAACAGGTTCAACAGGGGGCAGTTGTTTTGTGCTGGACACTTGTAGCCCTGACAGTCCTTCGCTGCGAGGTACCAGCACAGTATGATGGTGGGGCATCTGCAAACCCAAGTGGCGTCATGCTCAGTTACACACCCTCGCACAAACGTGCAGCCTGTTGCTTTCCTGATCTGAATGCTCACCATTTTTGGGGATTGTAGGGCCGTAGGGTCAGGCTTTAAAGCTTAGCAGGTTTCTATGTCGCGGCCAAGACTTGCCACAACTTTTTTTGTTCAGAGTGCACGGTGCCTGTGGTTTCATCCATCATTGGACCACAGTGACCGGGCATAAATTTTCGATTGAGTGATGTAGAAGCTTGTCGCTGACGATGCATCTCAATCAGCGGCTTGGTCTTTTAGATTTGACAAAATGTCGCACCAGATTCAGGTCAGAGATGGGGATGGGTTCGTAACACCATATTTCGGGGACAAACATTCGTTTTATGAATTGATAAGGGTTATATAGTTTTGACTAACCAACAACCAGATCAGACCCGGAATCACTGCCAGTTGCTGTCCGCTTCACCGCCCTTTGCTCAAGCTGTTGTCAAAGAGAAGCTGGTGACCGCGTAGAAACACGCGCGAACATCGACGGGATCCAGTTGGAGTTGCCACATGACACTTGGCGGTTGAATCGAATGGGATGGGCCAAACTTCTTCGTCTACGCAGTCAACTCTTCATTGAATGTTGACTGTTGAATCTGGTTGGTTACATGTAAAGCTTGCACATGGCAGGTGGCAGAAGTTTCCGATAGGAATATCATATGAATATAATATATAATATGTTCCTGTAGGAATGCGGGGAAGATATTATATAGAAATATATAGAAGTTATTGCGGTGTTTCAAAGCCAAGACACGCAGGGTGCACTGGCTCAGTCACCAAATCTTTGTCAATGCGGCATTGTTGAATCTATGAAAATTCAAGCGGCGACCTGACCAGTGTCACTTGACTTCTATCTCTCTCTCTCTCTCTTGACAAATCTCTCTCTGACATATCTTTCTATTGAATTTGTTTGTTACATCTCTTTACTCTTTCTCTTGACACCTTTCTCAATCGCACCAACACGTGCCGGCGCAGAAACTCGAGCTCCCAGAAACGGAGTCAGCAAGGCAGGAAAGGTACACACCACCAGCGCATATACGTCAAAGTCATCTTGGGGCAATTCGAATGCGCTGAGCAACTACTGGATTCTAAAACGCACTACCAGCCGCAGAAGGAAAAAAGAGAAACTTGGACGCAGCGGTTCCAACGCACAAAGTAACCAAGCATGTGCCAATCACAATAGTACGAGAGAATCAAAACACATGGATGCCTCAGTCTGTTCCAATGCGCGTCAGCTCGAGAGCGTTTCACGCAGGTTCGGATTCGTCGCGCATCCCAGCCTACGTTTCAATGCAGGAGTACTAAAAAAAACGATGTTTCGGCACCTTTCTACCATTGAAATCGCATCTGGAACAAAAAAGTTGCATAGAACTGCAAAACACCATAGCGACATCGCAGGTTGATGCAGCAGTTCCACTGCGCAAAGTGGCCCAGCACTTGCAAAGCACAGAGACATGTGACCTTAACGCCTCAGTTCCTGCACGTGCAGTTGAGACAGTTCCCTGCGTTTTGGGACCCGTTGCGCAACCGCCCCTAATTTGCACCCCCCACTAACGGGAACTTGAAAAGCATAAATGTTTCAACAGTTCCACCGCACAAAGTTTCACAGAGTTGCAAAGCACAATGGAATTCACAGCTCAGTGGCGATGATGTGAAATGGTCATGATGTTAGGCGCTGATGATGTGAAGTGATATTTGGCAGTGATGATGTGAAGTGGTGATGGTGCGAGGCTGTGATGATGATAGGTTGTTAGGTGGTGAAGTGATGGTGATGTTAGGTTAGGTGGTGATGATGTTAGGTTGTGAAGTGGTGGTGATGTTGGGTGATGATTGTGATGTAAGTGATTGGCGGGGGGCCAAATATAGTTCATCGGAAACTCTGAGTGCCTCTTTGAAACATCGCTTTAAGGGGTGGTAGCAGGGTGTGGGAAGCAGGCTTGCAGATCCTGCCGGTCGAGTAGCCGAAGCCAAATTCTTTAGCTGTGAAACAAGGGCACCCAGATGACAGTCTTACTTTTTCCCTTGAGTGTTTCGCCAAAACAAACTAAGGCATCAAAGGTTCACAAGGTCCATCGCAATAGTTTGTATAGTTTGTATATGGTGAATGGATTTCATAACCCTCAAATATACAAGAATCATCAAAGATCATGGGCGTTGACCACACATTTGTCTTAGGTGACCTCCTTCTGCCACCCTGAGGAACGGGCAGATGCTCTTTTCGTCGCCTCCGCCAGGCATTGACCAGCGTCACAAAGCAAGTTTTCCCTCCGGTGTCATCAGTTCCATGGTTTGCTGAAAAACCACCCAGCTATAGTTCGATGATTTTCCCAGCTAAAAACTTCCAGTCGAGCGGTGTTCCAACCCCTGTTGGTTGATGACTATTGGGGGATTATACTCCAGCTCACAACTGGAGGTTTCCTAAAATATAGCTACAAGCATTGCTTTTGCACGCTTTCACTCATTGATAATAGGCTGATAGTAGGCAATAACTTGGGATTTTTGGGCCCCACTTCGCCAGGCTTGGAGCCCGATCTCACAGCCGCGGCCTTCAGAGCAGAGGTCTCTGCGCCGGAGGCACCGGGTTGGGGAGATGGGTATGGGAATG